AGATCATTCAACTTGTGTTGCCACATTTCAATAAAAACATTCAAAGAATCGTGAAGCAGCAAACTTGTTGTGTCCCCCTCCCATAATATCCATATTATTAAGAGAAATCCACTAGTGACCTAGACGAACAGGAGGATAACCATTTGAATATGAGGGACACCTCATGGGGAACAAATCTTACAACAGTATAGATTAACATTAATATAGATGAATATGTGCTCTATAATTCGGCGCCTCATGGATGCATGTATAACTCCCCAATTTTACGGATATATCCTATGGGAAGAGGATGACAATAAAACAGCCAGGGAAATAGCACTAGATCAGTAAGACAGTTGTTCCTCTGTATGTATCTCAATACAGCAGACGGAGAGAGTCTGAACATTGATTGTTCTGTATCTTTATATTAACACGCTTAAGATATATTGAGTATCGCAAGAATAATAAACAATCTACGAATATATCTCTTCTTCTATCTTCCCAGGCAACTAAAAAGAAACCATGAAGAGAGAGTAAGAAAAGGCGCCTTAATAACAAGCAAGGAGCGCACCATTAGCACAGAAAGAAGGAAATAATAAAGTAAATCCAAGGGGAACGGGCAGCTCATGGGGATGCAAACTGGGCAATGATGATTGTGAGCCGCTGCTTAAGGTAGGAGCTCTAAATCAGAAGCGGACAGCATTAAATCGTGAATGGTAAAGAATACACTTTAAAGGGTGATGACCCAACCAAAAACAGGAACAGGACGCCTCTAACCATAAGACTTGCGAAGTAAATCCTACACCACACCAAATGCACATTGAAAACTAAGTAATACAGCTCAGACTAGAACCCTAAGGAATAAACAACGAGCAATAAACAATGAAGCCCCAAATTAATAGTTGTAGGAACTGAACATGATGCTTAACACCGAAACATTCGGGGAGATACCCTGAATAATAATAGGACCAAATACACCAAAACACGTTGCAACATAAACCATAGCAGATACACCTGAGCAATGCACAGTACAGAAACGATATAGACCGTGAACTTAGGGCGTGCGAGAACCATCCTACATTTCATCAAGCAGAGATAGAAACTAAGGGTATCCCATCAGTCCTACACAGTAAGACTGAATCCGCAACCATGAAATCTGAGCCGTACACCGTCAAGAGATGGCAGAGGATCCTGAGCCTAAGGAGATAACAAATAAAAACAAATAGCAGAAATAAGGAGGCATATGTAAAGAATTAACCGTAGGAATAAAGACTAGAGGGTGCCAGTACAAGCTAAGCCACAGGCCTCACTGATAGACCGTGGAGGCTGAGCCATGAAATATACAGCCTAGGGCCCAAAACATACAACCCAAACAATACCCCCTAAATCGTAAAAAACTAAGGAGGAACACAGTACAGAAGGCGCATAATCAGTGAATCTTACCCGCCTAAGATAACTTATCGAACAGTACTAATAGACGCTAAGGGGTAAAGAAAACCCTCCGGCCATACACAGGAACCGGAAGGCGTAAACATAGAGGATAAAGCCTGACAAATGCACTCAAGAGTGAAACTGGGGGGATAAGAAATAAAGCATTAATGCTAAATATTAAAGAATACAGAGTGAACAATAAAAGTTGAAACAACACCAAACCTCCCTAAGCCGAGAGCACAATGCCTGAGTAAACCCCAAATGAGATAGCTGCTTACACCCTGCAACCTAACTGCTTAAAATTGAAGCGTAAAGACCAAGGAGTACAGGTAAAACATATAGAGAGAAATGTACTCTTTAACAGAACTCCATAGAATTGCCCCCCTCAAAATTACAAGAATCTAAGCCAGAGAAGAACGTAACAAAAGGGGAGCAGGCATAAGCAATAATGGCGGCAACCTACAACCTCAAACAGGAGGCCGACAGCACACCTTAGGCAGTACCAGATAGAATCCATATAATAACGGAAATGGGCAGGGACTGAGAACCTACCGCTGCGATATAAATTTCCAGTCTCTACGCCTAAGTATTGCCTGTGCCCAACAGTGCATGTGGCATGGAACTTACTTCAGCATCACTGAGCCTTAAGCCCTACCTGACGCCCCATACAGGTTGAAGGCCAGGAATTAACAGCCGGAAGAGGAGGGCTCAGACTCCGAAACATAAATCCAAAATTGGAAACGTAATCATTCTGGGCTAAGAGATATAGGATAAGGAATGAAATCTAAGAAGTTAACAGTACTAGCATGGGCAATAACGGAAAAATATAGACACGGAAGCATGACCAAAAAGGTCCTAGAGAATAAAGTCTGAAATTAACGCGAAAGTCCTGCACCATGAACATGAAGCATAGATGTGCACATCGGGCGTCCAACCTGGAGGCGAACCCCTAAGAGATTGAGTCGTAATAGAAAAAGGGAGTCTCGAAATAATAAGCCTTAAACCAAACAGCATGGACAGCAAGAGAAGGGAAGTTATAAGTTGCGCCTAACAAGTAGAGAAGGGGAAAGGAACCCTCAAGACCTAACAATAAAGAATACAGAATAATGCAGGAGCAGCCTAAAGTAACAGCAGAGTCAGGGCCCTAAAGCTAGGGATATCCCCTAAAAGCTAAACCTAAAGTCAGAAGCTATAAAAAGAAACCATACCAACTACAAGGAAAGCCCCACACCTAACCGTGAGTCCCCCAACCTAAAAAGTACGGGTGCTTCCTTAAAACCAGGAAACCGAAGGCCTAAACACTAAGCTTCCATGCTTGGGAACCAAATGCAAATCGACCAGAAAGATTCCTCGACATTAAGTCATACGATATGAAATCTAAGGCTAAGGGACAGGGCCACCGAATTACACCAAACCGATGAAACGGGAAAAAGAACATGAATAATCAGCATGAAACCAGGAAATCAGCCAAAAACATGTCGTCCGTAGAAGCAAAGTTACAGGAGGATGCATAATAAGATGTCCTACCTAGAACTCCAAGTATGGACCCAGACAACTGGCCTTAAAGAGAGAGTACTAAACCAAAGATGAAGGGGCCTAATATCCTGCCATGCTACCCGTATTAGCAGTAAGTGATACTCTTTTATAGTACGCCTATGTGGAAATATAGGGACCTAACAACTAAGACCTGTAATAGTGAAACATGAGGAGCCCACAATGACAACTCTGGGCAACAGGTTGAAGGGTAACACCTAAATATTAAATCGCAGGTACTACCCCTTGAACACTACACCCTACCTCCAAGAACTATAATATGTGCAAATCCCAAACTAGAAGACAACAGCATCCCTGCTAGGCCAACCCCGAAGGCGTAGATCTTAGAGGATGAATCCAGAACCCTAACCCCAGTAGCCTAATACCATTGCACAACAGCTATCACCCAAAGCTAAGCCCAACCGAGTACACCTCAAATTTAAGGGTATCCAGGCAACAGAACAGATATATCCGCTAAATCGTAGGATCAGAAGCACATCAAAAGTTCCCCCAACACCGAGCCTAACACCTCCCCCCTCGTAATACCTGAGATGTGAAGGATGAAGCCTTATCTCCAGAAATACCATCAGGTCGATGAAGGGAAAGGAAATCCTCAACGTAGAGGTATGTTGACGAAACAAGAAGAGAACAAGCCCAGAAGAGAGCGTAGGAGATAACACCGAGTCTCCAGATATATTAAACCCCGTACCACGAAATTCACGGCCCAAATATGAAGATTAAGCAGGAGACCATCAAGCATATGAATTAGCCCCTAAATCCTACACACGTAGACTATAGTTCCCTCCCCACAACTATGAATCGTGAACCCGGGAAACTACATGGAAGAATGTAATCTATAGACGATAAACCGTGTAGCGTAAGCCCCCAAACCGTAAACCGTACCCCGCGAACGATACACATAAGCGAACCCCTGAAGGATGAAACCTAGGAGGAACACCCAGAATCCTAAACCCTAAAGATAAAACCCTAAATAGTAAACCCTGGGGCCAAACCCCTAAAGCCTACACCTAAAGCGTAACCCTAAAGGATAGGAGCTATACGATAAAATCTGAGGACTAATACCTGGACACTAGAACCTCAACGTTAAATCGTAAACGGCAACGGTTAGAATCTAGAACCTGAAACGTACACACTAAACGGTGAACCCTAAGTCGTAGACCCATAAACTAAACTCAGAACCCTCAAAACCCGAGACCCTAACACCTGTAGCATAGGAACTGGACCATACAACCTAATCCTGACGCATAAAGCGCAAATACTCCCCCAGAACGTCGACACGTGAACCCTAATCATGAACCGTAGAAAACAGAATCCTAAACATAAACACAAAACCCTAAAAAAAACGCCCTCAACACTAAAAACTAGAAACTGAAGCCACAACCATGAGCCCTAAACGGAAACCCTGGACGCTGAACCCTAAACGCTCAAAGCTAAACCCTGGACACAACACACTAAACCTAAAAAATGAAACATGAAGCTTTGGCCCTGAACCCTCAACCGTAGATCCCTGAACCCTAAAGCCTAAGCGAAGAAAAATAAACGCCGGAACCTAATGCCTACGCCCTAGAGCCTAAAGCTGAAACATGATATGTGGGCCCTGAGAGCATGAAGCCTCCCCCGCTAAGCCCCTAACGCTAAGAACTAAACCCTAAACGCAAAACAGTGAACCCCACACTTCTGAACCCTGGACATTACCCCCTGAAGACAGACACTTGAGACAAGACCCCCAGCTCCTGATAGATAAACCCTAAATCACAAGACCTAAGCAGTAAAGCCTAAACCCTGAACCCTAAGCCCGGAACCCTAGGCCCTAAAGCATAGAGCCTAAATCGTAAGCCCAGAAGACTAAATGTTGAACCATGAACAGTAAGCCAGAGGCCCCCCCCTACGGGGAGGATCTGGACGCCCAAGACGCCACGTCGCATTCGGGGCTACCCTCAGTAGTCTACCCGGGAAATCAAGAGGCCATTGCTCCTCCTGGGTTTCCCCCAACATCCTCCTCACCAAGATGCTGGGTTCCGACTCGCCCTTTCACTCTATGGAGTATACCTCACCCTTCTCTTGCCAGTGACCGGCAGAGCCCTGGAGTTACGGGGCCCTGTCCTTGATTTCAATATCCGAACTAACCCATACATACTCAAGCCACCCAATATTACGGCCACTGCTCCTCCCCCTATTAGCCCTCCCAATGAGTCCGCTCCTACTCCGCCGCTGTTTTTCTCAGGGGTACTCTCCCCCCCCCCGGGGTGAGCCCCTGGGTCGATCAAGGGAGTCTTCTGCAGGTACGCTTCAATAACTCCTCTCAATTCTTCCCCGTCGCTGACTCCTCCCTCTATTGCTGCTTGTGTTGCTGTCCAGGTGGTATCTTTCGTTCCTTCACTTGCTATTTCTTGGACTCCTAAGTCTCTCCTCGCACTGATTCCGCCCTTATATGTACACACTAAGTCCTTCACCCCCGCATCGTCGCCAATCAAATCCTCTGTTATCACTTCAAATATATCGGTTCCCGCCAATTTCATCGTTCCCCCTCCTTTGGAGGGCCACCTGTCTGTATTAAACCAATTTCTCATTACCTCTTTGGCCACTTCACTTCCACCCCAGTCGGCTAATTTCTCGTAGGTCCGCTTACATATATTCCCCCAGTTGTTCATCTCTACTATGATATTGTTACCCTGCTGCGTCAATTTTATCTGATCGTATATTATCCTTACTAGCTCCATACATAACTGAAGTTCCTTCTGATAATCCTGCTTCATATTCAACTGGTGGGTGTTTATATAGCTCCTCCAATTTACAGCCGTACTGTGCTTCTTGCAAGAGGCTTCCTCCCCCCTCCCCTCCATGATCTTCTTAAAATCTTTATACTTGCAGTCTCCCGTTAATACATCCCGGCCCTGTCCAGTTCCTCTGTTCCAAGTAGATAACCATAACTCTAATGCTATACACAACGTCCTACTCCTTGTATTCAAATGCCCTTCCAGAGTATTGGACCACTGAGATTTTTTCTCCCTATATCTCCCCTCCCTGACAGGCACCTGCTGGTCCGTATCTCTTATGAGCTTACATATTCCTTTCTCTATTCCGCCTCCCCTGCTACATCTCAGTTGTCTCTCGGCCAAGTCCTTCAGATGCTTCATCAATCCCCCAAAGATTGAGGCCTCCATTCTTCCTTAATTAATGCTAATGCGCCGTCCTGGTTGTCCTACTCGGTGCTTCCGTCCCGTGAGGTGCTATCCCGGAGTCGTATACGTACTAGACAATTTTTGGCCCACGGAATATTTGGGAAGTCGTTTGTCTTATGACTATATTTTAGCTTCTCCCAATTGACCAGTGGCGTCTGGCGCCTGGTGGGTCTTATTCAGAGTCTTCCTGCCTAAACCTCCTTCTCGCTGACTGGGCCTATGGATTCTGCACTCCTAGGTAGCCTCGGTGTCCCCGCCTCCTATTGTTCTTGAGGCTTGCTCTGGAGATTCAGTAATCCGCCTCTGGTGCCTGCTGCGCGGATATCCTTCATGCCCCTTCTCTCTCCACTGTCTCCATGTCCTCTACTGGAGCCTCCTCGGATCCCCCTCCTGGTGTTAATCCTGCTGACTCTTCTACTCTCCGGGTAGTGTGCCTCCTATTTTTCCTTGCCTATACTTCTGGGAATCATTCATCCTCCTTTGGGAGAAAAAACGTCACTTCTCATTCTAGTTACTCCCCCTTGTCCCCTGGAGTCAACCTTACCTAAAATACGGCCTGCGGGGAGATATCCCTGCCCTAATTCCTTCTTTCCCTCCTCCATCTACTTCCTCAGGTGGCTTCTGCTTTGCTCAGTCCTGACTCGCACGTTTCGCAGTGCCGTCATAGACCTCTTATAATACATACTACTTTTACCCTCCCTCTTGGTTCAGTTGACTACTCGACTTCTCTCTTGTTGTTCTATAGATTCTGCCCGTCTTTAAGGTTCCTGCCTATCCCACGTGTTGTGACGGACACTCTCTTTTGCGGAGTCAAGGTGTTCAGGAGTTCAGATTCTTCCAGGGAGCTCTAAGGAAACCCCACTGATCCCTTCGCGGCTTGCCCGCTTAACTCCCTTGGGAAGATTACTCAAGGTACTCCCCTAATTCCTTCGGAAAGCAGCTGGCTTCCTCATCTTATAGTGGCTTCATTCCCTACAGCGAGTCCACTGCGGGAAAGCGCCGGGGTTCACGGTTGTCACCCTCTTTGGACGGCACTAATCTATCTTAGGAGGGTTCCTAGTCCCTCTCCCTGATCTGCCTGTTGATAAAGATCATTGAATCAGTCGGTTGCCATTTTTATTCCACACTCGCGCCCTCCCTTATCGGCTCCTCCCTAATTCCTAGATCGGTTTCGGCCTGGGAGTAGTACTTCTCTGTCTTGTGACGCTTTATTTACTCTACTCTTTCTCCTTTCTACGCCCGACACTTATTTAAGGTGAAGTCGTTGCTTTCAATCGATTTTCCCTTTCCTCGAGGGAGATTACTTTTTCCTTCTCCACACTTTTATTCTTCCTAATCTGTCCATATTACCTGACTTCTTCACTCCTGTCGGACACTTAATTTCTTCTATTACTGACTCTTCGCTTCATTTTCTCTTTCTCTTTTGTATAGGAGACGTCTGTGGGTCCTAGTTTTCCTGCACTTAATCCTGCCTCCTGCCACTCAGGGAATCTGGATTATTATTGCTTCTCATTGTAGAGTCCACGTAAATATCACTGCTTCCATTTATTAGAGGGGGGTTCTGCCACTCCTAGGGTTGCCTCCTTTCCTCAACTTCTCCTTAATATTGGGCTCCCCCTAGAATATTATAACTCCCTCCTACTTGTGGCATAATCTTCTGTACCCTTACCGATATGACACGAACAGACCCCTTGGGCCTTCTCATCCTCCTTCAGCAGGATAACCATCAGATTTTCCTAGATTCTGTTATTTATCTTCTCTTTCTTCTTTTGTAACTTCTCCATCGATTTGCCGTTTCCGAGATGTTCGCTCTGGCATTCTCTGATAGGGAGAATTCTGCCTCCTATTGGTGGAACCCTCTCTATGACTATATACTCTTCTTGAACTTTCTCAGTCGATTGCGCTTTGGTTACTAATATCTCTCGAGGCAGGAAAGGAGTGTTAATTACTGTAGGTGGGTTCGGCGTGACTTGCCCTATTGAAATATCTCTGTCTGGAATTATTCTATTCTACCCCCGCCCCTTCCCCTTCTGTCGATTTATGGCTTCTTTTTCCTAGAATAAGATATATTAGATCTACTCGGGCTTGAGCTCAGGCTACTCCCAACTGCTCTCTTTAATACGAAGTGTCCTTCTCTGATTTGGTGTTTATACTGGAGTTTCGCTGTTCAACTCTCAAGCCTGGACTCAATATCTGCCGTCTCCTCTTCTTTCGTGTTCGCTTCTCGATGACTTCTAATACTTGCACTGGTATTTTGGCATTGGGGCTTTCGCTTGCCCTTTCAATGCGCGTTTCATTAATATATGACATAAGGACTTATCTGTGGTTACTCAATTTTATGCTAAACCCTTCTGTATTTGTGTGGTCCTCGCTATTTAGAAATTACTATTTTCTCCTCTGGGGGATTTTTGTTGCGCGAGACTTTCCCCTTGTTCAAGTAGGATCTTTTTTCTCATCAGCTACTGTCTTTTGAGCCCATAGTCGCCCTTATAAGGGACTATGCAGGAGTTGCGCCTCTTCCTTCATAGTTTAGCCTTCCAGCTTCAACTTCGTCGGTTCACTCAGGGTTTCTATATCTTTTCTTCCTTGCTCGATCCTGCATACACCATGTTCTTTGCGATTACTTTCTCCGTCCTTCCTTTGCTATTATCCAATTTAAACCTGAGACGGTAGCTATCCTTCAGAGGCCCCTGAATCCTTATTACTCGCTGCTAGGTCCTAGGCTTCGGCTATCGACCTGGTCATATTATTCTATACTTTCAACTGGTTTGGTCATTGTTCTTGTGTTAAAAACTCTAACTCCTTAGGGAATTGTCACTAACTCCTCACTTAGTCCTCGTATTCGTTGCCTTTTTTGCGATCTTGGCACGGGGTAAATAAAATCAAAGATTTGTCTAGAGAGAGCTGTTCGCCTGTTAGGTAGTTAGTCTCTGTTGTCCCCCGCTGTATTCAAATACCGGACCCGGTTGTCTTTTGCTTCAGGTACCAACTGGCTGCTCCCTCCAGGTAGTTTAGTTTAGAGGAGGTAGTTAGCTATTTTCTTCTGCTTGCTCTCTGGTAGGGTACCCTAGAAATACACGTCTTTCTATCCTAGACTAGTGCTGCGGGGATTAGGCCTAATTCCTCTGTTATATTTAGACTTCACCAGAGTCTGGTGGGTATTAACTCTTTCCGCCCGGTTCTTGTTCGGATATAGAGCTCTAAGAACCAATGATGTCCTATTATTACCCATTAAACCTCTCTCCTTGCAAATTTTGGCATATATTGGGAGGTAGTTGCCCTGATAAGCTCCTGATATCCCTGCTCCTTTCCTCCTTCTGATTCACTTCTTCTTGGATTTCTCTCTTTTGGCTTCAGAATTCAAATTCGGGGGTTCTCAAGGGACTTGTTCATCAACAAAGCAGAATTTAGGCTGATACATCTCGATAATTTTCGCTTCACTTTCCTTCTTGACTTCTGGACCAGGTGCTGCGTGATTGGATACATCAAGGTCTGGATGTTTCGGCTTAGTTACTCTTAGCTCCGAGGTCATGTTCTTAGGCTAGCAGAGAGATCATTACACTTGATACCTCATACGAGAACTTTAGGTGTTGCTCTCTTGTTTTCGCCATTATTTGCTGTGTTAGGATTTCTCCATGCTTACTACGCTGGACCAGGGGTGACCCGTTTCAATTCATCTGTTCTTTGGCATTAGGCCTCATTTTTCCCTATAATTGGGGCTAAAATCCTTATAGTCTTCTTTCGGTTACTAGGCGTACTACATTACACATCAATTCCTGCGTAAATTCAGTATCCTTAAAGATACTTTAGGGTAGTTTATACTGCCTACTGCTGCCTGGCTCAATTGTATTTGAGCCTTATCATCTTGGGAGAAGATTGACACAGATCGGTCATCCATTACTTCTGCTAAGGCCCCACTTATAATCTAGTCTAGGAGGGTCCATTTGCTTTTATTGAGAGGGGAGACATAACTTTACCCCCCCCTCCTTGGACCCCCTCCCTCATTGGTACCGAGTCCTATTCTTAGTAGTTGGTCCTCACATACTCCCGCAATTCCTTTACTAATCATTAGCGTCTTCCGAGGAATATAGGACACCGGTTCTTAAACGCCTTCTTCCTTCATGACGTCCCCCTCCGCTCTGTCCTGCTTCTTCGGGGTGCTAAATCGAAGCTTATTCTTCCTCCTACTCCTGGAAGCTGCCTTTGGGCAGATTCTCCCAGGATTTCTTCTGCCATACTTCATATTTTCTGTGGAGGTATAAGCTGCCCCTTCCCAACTGCAGAAGTTGCCGCTATCCTTGGATTGGTCATATAGACGGCACTAAAGGGATATGAATTATAAAATCGGCTGATTCGAAACTTAGTGATTCATATTTTTCTTCCAATAGCACCTCTCCTTATTTCCCTATAGTCAGCCTCCTGTAACAGGCCGGGTTGTTTGACTCCTGTAGTTCCTTCTGCTGGCTAAGAAAGACTTTTAGTTAATTAGGAATTCTTGTTCTACTTAGCTCACTTGTTCCACTTTAGTCCGGGCTCTAAGCCCATCCTGGGGGCAAGGATCTGCTCCGACCTGTATCCTCATCCATTAGCTTCACTCAGATCTTCATCTGTGGGGCTAAATTATCTTCCTTCACTACCACAGTCTACCACAGCGATACTCCTCGGGGTGTAAGTCGTAATATACTTCTCCATCGGACCTATTTTTCTTCTTAATATTAATTCTACACTGGTTTTTCTTGCTTCGGTTCCGGCTTTCTCCTCTTAAATATTGCACCCCCCCCTGTGCATAGTCCCGGCTCCGGTGCCCCCGTGATTATAGGAGTCAGGCTTGTCCCTTATGGGCTGACAACAGATTTATTCAGTTGTTTGAGTCTCCTAACCCTGTTGCTGGGGCTGCGTTCTTGCCGTTGCAAGAATTCGATTCTATTCTTCTGCCTCTTAATTCCCTCCACTCACTCTTAGGTATTTTTTTTCAAGTCCAT